GGGCATGCCTCCAAGGCCTGGGACTTCAGCAGCGTGGCCTGCGCAGCTGGTGTTGAATCAGGTTTGATGCAGTCAGGTCTTAGGGAGTATATGAGCTAGTTGGATCGCTCAGTGCGTCAGGCCTCTGGCTGTGGCGCCAGAGGCTGGCAGTTCCCCACTCTGCGTCCCGGAGGAGCCAGCCTGGGTAGCCTTGGGCCAGCTGCACAGTCCCAGGGCACCCCAGAATGGTAAGCCACTTTTGAGTGCTATCTACCTAGGAAATCATGAAAAGTTAGAATTGACTTGACAGCACATGATGATGATGATGATGATGATGATGATGATGATGATGATGATGATGTACTACTACTACTACTACTACTACTACTACTACTAGTAGTAGTAGTAGTAGTAGTATATGGCGCACCTGGCACTCAAGTCCTATGGCCAGGTTCCACTACCAGCAGGGTGGTTTTCCCAGTGCTTTTACCTTCCCTGCAGTGACTCTGACATAGCATTGGTTGAGATGATTTGGTATTTACTGGCAGAGTGCAGTGGCCCAGTACGCAGTTTATGACTTTTGGATGTGGAGACTGGCAGTAAGGCAAGAAAGAAGGCGGCTATGAACTCAGAATGGTCCAGGAGGGAAAGATGCCTAAGCTCGATTATAAGGAGAAAAGGGGGTAAAAATAGTTTAAATCAATAAATAAAGCAGGAGGATGGAGGAAGGAAGGAAGACTAAGAACTGCAGTCTGCACGCAGATCTTGATGAGACAAAGAGGAAGAATACACTCATGTACGCCTGTCTGTTTGTCCACCCTGAGTGATTCAGAACATATTCTGTATGTTTCAGGGAGCTTTTTTCAGGGGCCTTAGCCCATGGGACTCTGGGAAATCTAAAAATGCCCGGAGCACTTTGCCATCATCCGCCCCTGTGTTTTCCAGCTAATTTCTCAGTCTGTGCAGTTTGCATCTCTTCTTACAATAGAACCCCTCCCTCCTAAACCACTGTATTTAAAAAAATGAGAGCAGGTTGATTATATTCTTGCTAGTCACACCAGTGACTCAAACTTGGACTCAACTCAGGTGTTGTTGTTGTGGTTGTTGTTTTCCAAAGACTTGGACTCATCTCAGGACTGGCAACCCAGCCACCCCTGCCTTTTTTTCTGGGGGTGGGGGGAAGCTTGTTTTGAAATAGGGACTCAGCATTGAGGCTTGGGACTCTGAACTTGGTACCAAAGAGAGGTCGACATCCACGGGGAAGGAGAAATCCCACACTGACCTTGTTTCTCTTTGATTCACTTCCAGAAGATCGAGATGGATAAGATCCTAGAGGCCATTGTCATGTCTTCCTACCCTGACCACATGAAACAAGGGTTGGTACGGCGCGTCGTAGAGGCTTCGAAGCAGCCCATGAACAGTGAGCAGTGTTGGTCCATGATGGAGCTGTCCACCAAGCTCTTCCTTGTGGGCGACACCAAGTTCAAGAGGACGGTTGGCAAAGAGGTGCTGGAAACCTTCGCCCTTTACCACAAGGAGGCCTTCGAGGAGTTCTTCAACGCGCGCTTCCTCCTGAGTCTTCTCCAAGAGGGTTACGGGCCTCTCGGGAAAAGGAGCCCCTACGTGTTCGATTACATTCACCTGGGGCTGCCGTTCGTTCTGGACAGCCCGTCGGCCAACGATATCTTCTTCTTGCTGAGGACCGAAGTGCTCCGGAAAGTTTGCGAGAGGCCAGGGTTGAAGCAGTGCGTGAAGATCAGCAAGCTTCTCACCCAGCATCCTCAGTGTATCCCCACAGGCAAACGGCAGGCCCTTTTCTGCCAGCAGCTCATCCGTTGCATCGGGCAGTTCCGCACCACCTCCGGCCGAGACGAGGCCATTGTGGATTTCCTGGACCAAGTCCTCAAAGTCAGCCTCTTGCTGCAGAAGATATGGAAGATTCAGATGTCCTCCATTCTCCCGGCCTTGAAAGAACTCTTTGCAATAATTTCATCAACAGGTAAGCATAGACGTTCAGAGAGGGGTTAGAACTCACATGGACAGGGGGATTGGACTCGGTGGCCTTATAAGCCCCTTCCAACTCAATTATTCTATAATTCTACAACTCTGTGTGATTTCATTATTCATGGAATCCTAGAATAATGAGGTTGGAAGGGGCTTATAAAGCTATCGAGTCCAACCGCCTGCTTAGTGCAAGAGTCCAAGTCAAAACAGATCAGACGGACGGCTCGGAATCCTAGAATAACGAGGTTGGAAGGGGCCTATAAAGCTATCGAGTCCAACCGCCTGCTCAGTGCAAGAATCCAAGTCAAAACAGATCAGACGGACGGCTGTCCATTTTTCACTTGAATTCAATTTTCTGCGGTTGCTAGCAAAATGCTGGGGGGGGGTCATGAATGATGGGGTGTGTGTCCCCCCACAAAAGCTGTTCTAGTCAACACAAGGGACGGGAAGCGCAGAGCTTGGAAAAATTCCTCTCTCTTTTTGGATTACATCTCCCAAAATCGCCCAGTCAGAATGTTTACCTTTGTATTGCTTTCATGCTTGGTCTTGGGAATAGGAAGTAAAGTTCTCCAAGCTCTGAAGGCAAATTTTACTTTCAGGGCAGCACTGGATCCAGTGCATCTGTTTGTTCAGGCAGAAGAAGCTGAGTCAGACAACCTCACACTAACCTTATAAGGTAGGTCAGTTGCCTATGGAAAACTTGCAGGAAGGATACCAGACACATAAGAGCAGCACACTGCCTCTGCTGTAGAGGTAATATATAGCCATAATGAGTAGTCACTCCTTCCTATTCTCTGGCTCAGAATCTCTCACCATTCAGCACGAGTCAAGGCTTCTTCATCACCCTATTGTGTAATGAAATGCTGGAAATTGGCTTCTATTTATTTATTTTATTTATTATTCGACTTATTACCCCGCCCCTCTAGACAACGTCTACTTGGAATGGCTTACATGAATAAAAACAGAACAATATAAACAATATAAAATCATCTAAAACACAATTTTAACAACTATTTCTAAGCAGCATATAACCAAGATGGCATAACTCAAGCAAGAAGGATAGGGATCAGTTAACTGACTGGAGGGAAGGCCTGCCTGAAGAGCCAAGTTTAAAAGCCATTTAAAAACAACCCAGCGAGGGAGCGGCTTACATGAATAAAACCAGAACAATATAAACAATATAAAATCATCTAAAACACAATTTTAACACCTATTTCTAAGCAGCATATAACCAAGATGGCATAACTCAAGCAAGAAGGATAGGGATCAGTTAACTGACTGGAGGGAAGGCCTGCCTGAAGAGCCAAGTTTAAAAGCCATTTAAAAACAACCCAGCGAGGGAGCCAGGCGGATTTCAGCTGAAAAGGTGTCCCATAGCCGAGGGGCCACTGCCGGGAAGGCCCAGTTTCTTGTTTTTTTCCTTCCGGGCCTCTCTCGGCATTAGGCCTCTCAGCCATCCCTGCTGGCTATATCGGGTGATTCGGGTAGATTCAGGTGGAAGAAGATGATCTGCCAAATATCGAGGTCCCAAACCGTTTAGGGCTTTGTATGTAATTGTTAGCACTTTGAAATCAATGCGGAAACGGATGGGCAACCAGTGCAAGGCAGCCAGAGTGGGGGAGATATGCTGATATTTTCTCACCCCACTAAGGAGCCTGGCTGCCGCATTCTGGACCACCTGAGGTTTCCGCAACAATCTCAAAGGCAGCCCCACGTAGAATGCATTACAATGGTCTAATCTTGAGATTACGAGTGTGTGGACTAGAGTAGTGAGAGCCCCCCATCAAGATATGGATGCAGCTGAGCAATCCGCTATAGATGAAAGTAGGCGGAACGGACCACGGACGTCACCGGGGTTTCCATGGGAAGCGCCAGGTCCAGATGTATCCCCAAGCCGCGGACCTCACTCTTTGCGGTAAGGATCGTCCCCCCCAAAAGAAAGGGAGATCACCCAAACCGCTAATGGAGGGACCACCCGTCACCCAAAACGCTAATGGAGGGACCACCCACCCTCAAGACCTCCGTCTTGTCCGGGTTTCTAGGTCTGTGTCAGAGCTCAGATGTAATGCATTACAAATAACAAGTTACCTGCCGTTAACTTTTTGTAGTAATTTAGTCATCACTAACCTATGGTGTTATTGTAATGTCATGAAGCAAAACATCTCTCCTTCTGGAGTGTAACTAAGTTCTAAAGTTACTTTTGAAGTTCTGCTGCAGCTCTTCTTGGGTGCCTTTGAGATCATAAGCCTGTTGTTTGTGTCATTCAGATTTTTGAAAACTAGCGAACAACAACTATTAAGTGACTTGGTAAGAAAACCAACATTTACTTTTTGAAATAGTAACTTTTCCAGCTTACTACTTTTCTGTATCTTATTATTTGACGGTATCTTACCATTTTTCAAAAGCAATTTTCAGTGTTCTGGTTTGCCAGTATAATGAAGGCAGACGTTTCCTTTTCTCAAACGTATATAGCATACTAATAAGCAGAGACATCTCAAAAAGCAGAGACATCACCTTGCCAACAAAAGTCCGCATAGTCAAAGCTATGGTTTTTCCAGTAGCGAGGTATGGAAGTGAGAGCTGGACCATAAAGAAGGCTGACTGCCAAAGAATGGACGCTTTTGAATTGTGGTGCTGGAGGAGGCTCTTGAGAGTCCCCTGGACTGCAAAGAGAACAAACCTATCTCCATTCTGAAGGAAATCAACCTTGAGTGCTCACTGGAAGGACAGATCCCGAAGCTGAGGCTCCAAGACTTTGGCCATCTCATGAGAAGAGAAGACTTCCTGGAAAAGACCCTGATGTTGGGAAAGTGTGAAGGCAAGAGGAGAAGGGGACGACAGAGGACGAGATGGCTGGATAGTGTCATTGAAGCAACCAACATGACTTTGACCCAACTCTGGAAGGCAGTGGAAGACAGGAGGGCCTGGCGTGCTCTGGTCCATGGGGTCACAAAGAGTCAGACACGACTTAACAACTAAACAACAACAAAAATGTAGCATCTCGCTCTCCCCACACAAGTAAATGCTTAGAGAGGTAATAAAGTCTTTAACATAATGTGCATTTATTGATGTATTTAAAAGATTCTTAACTCACTTTTCAGGGCACAATACCCTCTCCAAAATTTTCATGAAGATGCAAGCCACACAACATGTTAATGAGGATAAAGTGCCCCATCAGGTCTGGTCATTAATTAACCTCATCAGTAAGAAACGTAAAGCACAGAAATACTAAACACAGGCTGGAATAGAGGTGCTTTCAATGTTCTCTTGAAGAATGTTAATGATGAGCCATTTGTATTTCCTTTGGAAGGAAATTCTGGAAGTGTAGGGCTAACATGAAGAAGGCCCTCTTCTTATTACCTGCCAGTAGAATAGCTTTGTAGCAGCTCTCTGCAGATCACAAAGCTGTTCCTCTGTGCTCATAGACTGGGTTAATCCTAACCATCAGAAATCAGCTTGAGCAATCAAGGTTTGTCAGTTTATCAAGCAACCCAACAAAATCCTGAAAGCAGCATCTATGTGTATGTGTATTTGTGTGAATGTGTGTGTGTGTTTATTAATGGATCTCTCCTTCTTGAGGAACCTCCGATAGAAAAATGGGGTAATAATTATTTCGTGAATGATTAAACGGGTACAACTGCAAAGTACATAATCTTTATCCCTTCTTGTAATACTGGTTTTTACCTGCCTCTGTCTTAATGGTTTTGCAGATGATCAGGAGCCACCATCGATTGCCTTAGCCAGTGTGGTCCAGCACATTCCACTGGAACTCATGGATGGGATACTAAGGAATCTCACCAATGATGACAGCATAACGGATGTACAGATGATGGTGGCCATCGGCAGGTAGGAGATGCTGAGAGGTCACTAGGTCTGAATTAGGCTTTGGTGTGTAACTGTAACCAGGTAGGTGCAAGAATGGGAAATGAAATAAATAAATGTATTGTGTGAATGAGTCTTTCTGCTAAATTCTCAGAATGATGCAAACTGTTCTTTTAAAAGAAGCATCTGAAGGTCTGCTCCAAAAAACAGCCATGCTGGGCCTGAGGGGTGATTCTAGTCCAGCTGTCTGTCCGTGCAGCAACGGACTAGTCGCCTACGGGAAATTCGCCAACAGGAGACGAGTACAACTTTAGCTTCCACTTCACTTTTCTTAGCAATGAAAAAGCCTGAAGTCTCTCTGGAAGCATGCATGATGACATTCAGGATATCGTCTCTTGGGCCCATCGTGAGAAGAGGAGACTTAAATAAGTGTGGGTAAAGTTGAAGGCTGCAGGAAAAGGAGATGGCCCAATCCGAGATGGATGGAGGTCATCAAGGAAATCACAGCGTTGAATTCTGTAAGAGTGGAGCAGGACTGTTAATGACAGGACTGGAGGTCACTCATTCATAGGACCATCGTTAAGTTCTTGATAGCAACAACAGGAAACAGCCAGCCTACCTAGTACCCACTAGGTGAATCCTTAGATGAGTCCTGGAGCCAGAAAAAATGTTCTGCCTGGCCCCTGGAACATACCTGCTCCTGATTTGATTCTCTGCTTTCTTGCTAGGAATGGGGACTCCGATCGCGGGACAAGCACTGGTGAATCTTCTCAGGCTCATTTTTTTCAATGACTCAGATTTGAATCACTACTAGGAGCCCACCCACCTTCCCCTTTTTTCTGGGGCGGGGGGAGCTTGGTTTTTAATCGGGATTCAGACTTAGGGATTGCGACTCAGGACTTGGTACCCAAGTGGACTCAGACTTGCCAACATCTGTTTCTTGCACATCTGGAAGGGCTACAAGGCAAAACCCACACATGCACCCCCTTCGAAGCCCGCTTCAGTTTTCTTTTCCTTCTTTTAATCCCCCAGAGAGCTAATGGAAGATGTTAACTGGCAGTGGTTCTAAAATTAAGTCTTGGCTTACCTTTCCCGCCCCCCCAGCTACCCCTGGGTTTTAAAATAACAGCCCTCTGGAAGGCGGACGGTTGGAGGAGACATTCAGCAGTCTCCATAAAATGCAATTACGGAAGAGCAGATGCCTTGGAGGAGACTTGGGGGAAAAAAAACAACAACACATTTGGCCTGCCAAGAAGCTGCTGTCTTACCAGACAGACATCTTGTCTGGCACAAGCTGGGCTGATGCAGAGATTTGTCCAGGCGCCGTTTCCCCAGCGTCCTCACCGTGTTTCTGGGAAGCCCCTATTTTCCTGCAATCAGACTGAATACGGAAGACAGTGAGTGGAGATAACAGTATACAGTGCTCTCCCCTGAGTAGTGAGATATTTTAGGGCAATTTGTGACCCTCCAGATGTCAGAATCATGGAGTTGGAAGGGACCTCTAAGGCCATCAAGTCCAACCCTCTGCGCAAGGCAGAAATTCAAAGCGGATCTGACAGATGGCTGTCCAATTTTCTCTTTAATGCCTCCAATGTTGAAGCCAAAGTCATTGGTTCCATTGTCATACTGCTCGAACAGTTAAGAATTTTTTCCCGATGTTCTGCCTCCATCTGCCTTCCTGTTATGAGACTACAATTCCCAACAGCCCTGACCAACATTTCCTATATTGAGGGATGATCTAGCATGCATCTGCTCTATGCAGTTGCATTAGTTTCATAGAATTCCTTTTGCTGTAGCTCCATCCTGTGGAATCCCTGGGCTTTGCCACTTATGAAGGTAGTTCAAATTGTATTCTCGAAGGCTTTCACAGCCAGGATCCGATGGATGTTGTAGGTGTTTTGGACTGTTTCTCCATGTTCTGGAGGTGGAGGTACTTCAAATGGTCCGTTAGAGGGCTCTAGTGCTGTAGATTAGGGAAGCAGATTAGCACCCTTGACAACAGATGGATAAATATCTCATCAAACGACGTAGGATACAAGATTCTGTAGACTGGAGCTATGGTAAGTAAAATGTTATCAAACTGTATAGCGCAGTTACGCTTCTGCAGCGGCACAGGTAGCCAACCTGTGTCCTAGGTGTGTCCTTTTTCAATGAGAATGAACCGGACACGCATGGCTCTCTTTGAACACTTACTTTATTATCAAATACACCAGGGCAGAACATGGACGAGGGAAACAGTAAGAAAGACTCTTAACTGAATTATGGGTTTTTTAAATAGTTTAATAGTCTGTAAGCTGCCTTGGGGTGGCCTGGAAGTATTTTAAATCATTAATTAATTAGTTTGTGAATTGCCAGCCTCATTTATTTTATACAGCTGGTTCCAGCCACTGTATGCTTTCGGTTCAAGGGGAGTTTCTCCCATAGAAATGAACGGCGGAAATGGTCGTCTCCACACACGCTTTCTGGCATTCTTTCAATGGCTGCGTTCATTCACTGATGCTTCAGTTCTGCCTCTCGGTTCTGCTGCTCTCTGGAGGTTTTAATTCTCCACTTCTGCTTTTTACCCATGTTGGCCACCTCGACTGGCAATCAGAGGGAGAAAAGTCTGTTTTTTCCCCCAAACCACCTCTTCTTGGTAGGACTATCTTTCAGTGGATCATCTGATCCTGGACGGTGTTTCCTGCTGGAAATGTCTGAGCAACAGGTTATAATGCCTGTGGCTTTGTCTTTTGAGTTTCCATGGAGGGGGCTGTGATCTGACTCTGCTTCTTTTTTGAGGGTAGAACTCCAAAACCACAACATTTTTCTTCAAGCAATGTCTAGATATCCAGGGGCTGCACACAAACACCTCTGGACCTTTGAGGAAAAGAGCCTGTTTCCCTCAGTCCTGCCAAATGCCATTCTCTTTACTTTTTAGCTTAAGGAAATAAAACTCCCATTGCACTCTCTAGTGGCAGTTGTAAAACAACGGTTTGGAAAGTTGTGGGGCATGAGCATGACCGCAATAATGCCAGAGTTATTGCTAAATTTGAAGCATAAAATACGAAAGTGGTAATAATAAAGATAAAAATGATAGATGACAGTAATGGATGTAAAAACAATACAGTATAGGGGATAAAGATAAAGTCAAGATAGCAGTGGAAAAAAAACATGTGGAAGTAAGGAAAAGTGGAAATCCTATAAAGCAACAAAAGGAAATAAAGGAAGATAAATTCGGGACCCAGGCTTCAGATCAGCCACAGGTTCAGTGAAAAGAGGTCTTACGGCGTTCCTCGTGCTTATTATCTGACTGGATTGCCAGTTCTACCCTTCGTCTGAGACATAAAGACAGGGGTCCAGTGAGGTTAAAGACTTTTTAAAACAGCTTCAACAGAAGGAAGATAAGATTCACCTTTCATACTCAGAGAGGACAGAGCATTTGCGATGAAAAGTATGTAGGTGGCCATTGGTCCTGAGAAGGGGCTCCAAGCGGAAGGCGACATTTTGAATGATCCTGGTGTACAGTTTTTAAATCTCCGTCCAGCTTGCCTCCGTGACTCAATTTGACTCTTGCTTTCGCCTAAAACAGTGGTTCCCACTCTTGGGTCCCCAGATGTTTTTGGACTACAACGTCCAGTGATCCTGGCCAGTGCAGCGAGTGAGGAAGGCTTTGAGGAGTTTCCGTCCAAGATATCTGGGGAACCAAGTTTGGGAACCATTGCAACTCTGTCTATGCCTAATACTAGAGATGGACATGAACCGTTCATCCCAGTTCATCTGCACCTCTTTCCTGTCTCCTTTTGCTCAAACAGCCCATCACCAGGCCCAGTTTGGGTGGTTTTTCCCCACCTCCTCGGCTGATCTCCCGGTCAGGAGCAAGGGCACAGACTTCTCTGCTCCGCCCTTTTCTCTGAGTGGCAGATCAGCCAAGGGGGCGGGGCCAAGAAGCCTGAGCTGCTGCCAGAACTGGGAGATCAGTTGAGGAGGTGCAGGAAGCTAGCATGCTTGGCCTGGTGAAGGGAATGATTGAACCGGAGGAGATGGGGAAGGGGAGGAGCATCACCTGTCCTGCCGCCGATACAAACCGGGACGAACCAGTTTGTGCCCATCTCTACCGAGGATTGCAATTCTTGACACCCACCCTGACCTGCTGCCCATTTTATCAGATTGCTCTAACCGGTCTCCACCCCCTTGATCTTTTCTCTTTGCAGGATGACGGAGTGGGTCGCCTGGCCCCTAGGGAAGAACATAGACAAATGGATCATCGCGTTGCTGAAGGGCTTGGCTGCTGTGAAAAAGTTCAGCATCTTGATTGAAGTCACACTCTCCAAAATCGAGAGGGTCGGTATTTAGGCCTCTACGCAATTGGTCACCAGAGCTTGGGAATGTTACTTTTTTGGGGGGACTACATTTCCCAGAATCCCCCAGTCAGCACAGCCGGTACTCAGGATCACTGGGCTGTTACAGGAGCAAAAGCTCAGAGTGTACCTTTTCCCAGCCCTATTGACCACCTGCCGTTATCCTTGGCGGGAAAGCCCTATCCACCCATGGAAATGCTCATTGAAACCCACCAAAGCCATAATTGGGGACCCTTGTAAAACATTTTGATCTTTAGGACTTGCCATTTTGAGTTGCATTGCATTTTTAGGATAGGCTGTGAAAGCGCTTGGCTTTACTTTTTTCAGAAGTTCAAAAGTTTGCTCATTACAGGCAAAGAAATTTAGAAGGGCTTGAATGCTCCTTTACTACAGGAAGGGACATGCAGGGTCCCGCGGATTAAGCCGCTGAGCCCTTGTTCTGTCAATAGGAGGGTTGGCAGTTTGAATCCACGCGACAGAGGGAGCTCCCGTCACTTTGTCCCAGCTCCTGCCAACCTAGCCGTTCGAAAGCATGTAAAAATGTGAGTCGATGAATAGGTACCACCTCGGTGGGAAGGTCACGGCGTTCCATGTCCAGTCATGCCGGCCACCTGACCACAGAAAGTGTCTACAGAGAAATGCCAGTTCGTTGGCCTACAAATGGGGTTGAGCGCCGGACCCTAGAATTGGACAGAACTGGACTTAAATTGTCAAAGGGAACCTTTACCTATTTTTACTGCAGTCAACTATTTACTAGATCTCTCTCTCTTTCTCTGTAGCTGATTTTCTTTGCTCCCAGCTGGTAAGGAAAATTAGATGCCAAAAGACACAGATAAATGGTGATAAATCTGGATTGTGGCTCATCTCCTCTTGTCAATATGGCTCCATTCCCTTTAATTTTTCTTTGCTGGTTGGAAGGAAACTTTATTTATTTAGTTAGTTAGTTAGTTAGTTTTTTGATTGATTTAATTTAATTTAATTTAATTCTTCTTTTCCTCCTCTCCTCCTCCTCCTCCTCTTTTTCTTCTTCTTTCTCCTCTCTTCTTCTTCTTCCTCCTCCTCTTCTTCTATTCCTCCTCTTCTTCTTCTTCTTCTCTTCTCTCCTCCTTCCTCTCCTCCTCTTCTTCTTCTACTCCTCCTCTTCTTCTTCTCTTCTCTCCTCCTCCTCCTCTTTTTCTTCTTCTTTCTCCTCTCCTCCTCCTCTTCTTCTCTTCTTCTTCTCTTCTCTCCTCCTTCCTCTCCTCCTCCTCTCCTTCTACTCCTCTCCTTCTTCTCTTCTCTCCTCCTCCTCCCTTTCCTCCTTTTCTCCTTCTCCTTCTCCTCTTCTTCTCTCCTCCTCCTCCTCCTTCCTCTCCTCCTCCTCTCCTTCTACTCCTCTCCTTCTTCTCTTCTCTCCTCCTCCTACTCCTTCCTCTCCTCCTCCTCCTCTCCTTCTTCTACTCCTCCTCCTCCCTCTCCTTCTCCTCCTCCTTCACCTTCATGTCCTGTCAACTGATTTCTGAAGAGAATATTCAGATGTGGTTTCCCATTTCCTTCCTCTAGGGGGTGCCCTGGGATGATGGTACAGCTTGCTCAAGGCTACTCAGGCTGACCCAGGAGACACAGTGGGGAATCGAATTCTTCACCCAGGAGACACAGTGGGGAATCGAATTCCCAACCTCTGGCTTTATAGCCAGATGCCTAAACCATTGATATATTAACTCCAGAGCATGTGCCACTCAATATCAGTTTGGAAGCCTCTTAATATGCTTTGACTCAGCATTTTTCTGACCTCTTGATCTAGCCTCAGTGGAGACGATGGTCATGTTGCTATTGCCATATTCGTGACAGCGAACCTCTCTTTGTTTTAATCCCCCCTCCTTCTCTTGCAGGTGTTTTCCAAGCTCTTGTACCCTATCCTGAGGGATGGGGCCCTCTCTATTCTCCGTTATATGCTGCTCAGCTTCCAGCACTCCCACGAAGCATTTCACTTGGTAAGGCATCAGGTTTTATTAGTTGCTGCTTTATGTGAACTCCAGGTCTTTTATTGTTTACATACAGAAGCAGGGTTGGATTGGACCGCTGGCTCTTTTGCCTGGGACTGGCTCGAGGTGGAGTGGACATAAGCTCTTCTGTCCCCATCCCGTCCTGTCACAGATAACCTGGTCAATGTCATTTGGGAACAGCCAACACAGCACCCAGAATAAATTAATCTGGAGCAAATTGAGCATGGAGTATTTAATTGCATTAGGACCCCCTTATCCATGGAACCAGTATCCACTGATTCGTTTATTCATGGTCTGAAGGTATTAAACCAACTTAAGACCTGTTTATTCAGACAGGCCTTCCCTCCAGGCACTACTTAATTTATTTTTCTTCCCATCTTGAACTATTGTTATCACTGTATATTGCTGTAAAATTGTTATTATATATTAACTGTTTTTATCTTGTCTGTTGTGAGCCGCCCAGAGTAGACAAGGTCTAGAGGGGCAGCATATAAGTGCAACAAACAAACAAACAAAGGTCTAGAGGGGCGGCATATAAGTGCAACAAACAAATAAAATTTAAAATATTTAAAGAAAAATCCAAGACATATATATTGCTAAATAGACTTACAAGAACTGGCCACTAGAGGTGTTCCCTTTCTGGTCCCAACTGAACTGAACCTCTATCTGAAAGGTCAGTGGTCCTCAACCTTGGGCCTCCAGATGTTCTTGGACTCCAACTCCCAGAAGCCTTCACCACCATCTCTACTGGATTTCTGGGAGTTGAAGTCCAGGAACATCTGGAGGCCCAAGGTTGGGGACCACTGTGATAGATGACATGAATGCAGCATGTTGAATTGTGTATTATATATTTGGGTATAATTGTGTATCTTTTATTGTCCCTGTCATATACCTTGAAAACCCTACTAAGATTGCCATGAGTCAGAAGGTCAACCCAATCAGAGTCATACACCGTTTTGAATTTTTCCATTCTAAGCCAATAAATGCAAATAAGTAAGTTGCACCTTGGGTCCAAAGAGAGGCCAATACTTCCCATCGTTGGGTCCCCACATGTTCTTGCACTGCATCTTCCTGAAATCCTGGACAGGACAGCTGGTGATGAAGGCTTCTGAAAGTTACAGTCCAAGAACATCTGGGGACCCAAGGTTGAGAACCACTGAAACAGGCCAATCAATGCTGATTCCTCAGATGTCTCAGAGAAGAGAGGTGGGAATCCTCAATGAGACTCTGATGTATGGCCAGTCCACAAGATGATTGACAGGCAGAAGAAAACAAAACTCAGCTGCACTTAACCCTTAAAGCTTTTGTTACAAGTCCATTTTGGACAAGACACATGATTCTGCCTACTTATTTTGAGACTGACTTTGTTTCGTCCTCCTTTAAGCTTCTCCCGCACATTCCGAGAATGGTGGCTGCCCTCAACAAGGAGAACTCGAACTCTGCGGCAAGCTGCCTGGAACAGCTGGCTGAGCTGATCCACTGCATGTTCTTCCGTTTTTCAGGATTTCCAGACCTCTATGAACCAGTTGTGGAAGCAATCAAAGTAACAATTTCCCTTTTCTGATTTGCATGCAACAAAAGTGGGGTGAGGTGGGGAGAATGGTTTAATCTAGAATTTGGATAATTCATCATCAGTTACAAGGCCTAAGATATATCCTGAGTTGAGCTGGGTCTGAATCTAAGGGACGACTACATTGGCCATTTATTCCACACTTTGCACCAGATTAACCATAGATAAATTCAAATTAAACCCCTGTGATTACATGATATCAAGTTCATTATGGAATCTTCTCTTTTGAATGGGGAACGATCTTTTTCTCTTGAGCTGGCAGGGATGATATAAATTTGTTCCACTTGGCCGACATCTCTTTTCTCTGCTTTCTGCTGTGTGTGGTCGCCTGATCTGAAGACAATGGGGCAATCATAGGGGTGTCAGTTCCCAAGTGCTTCTTGTCTTCAAGCTTCTTGCTTTTTTGAAAAAGGGCTTTCAAGGCTTAAAATTTTTTTAAAAATGAAATAATAAGAGCTGGAGAGTTAATGGGAAACAACTAGCCACAGAAGAGACTTCCATGTAATTGCGGCTTGGGCTGTGAGCAGACCTATCTTAGGGTGTGACTGCACATTAAGGAAAATGGATCTGTTATAATCCACAGCTTTTCTGCAAGTGAAATCACTGTAGCTGTCCAGACAACAGTCAGTTTGTAGGAGTCAGCAGGGACAAAGGCAGGGAAGCTACATTTGCACAGAGCTCCTTGACAGCAGAAGCTACCCTGACAAGGTGTTAATTGGCAAGTTGACAAGGTGCTAATTGGCTATTTTCACCTCTTTTTTTAAAAAAATTGTTTTTCCTTAGTGACCTAGCAATACTTTGCTCCAGTGCTGCCTTGAAAGCCCTTTCCCTCATTTGGAAGATAGAGCCGTATGTATTTCACAGCTGTTCTGTGCCCTGTAAAGTCACCTGCCAGCATGTATTGTCATGCTGACAGTGGTGCTGCTCCACCGTCTGTACATTCTGACTCCCAGTCCATTCAGCTTTTGTGCATGGACTGATTTGGGATGCTTTCTTTCTTTCAACCACTGCTTGGTGTTTTTCATTCTAGTACCATCTTTTAGGGTTGGAGCAAGGCTTAAGTGCGGTATTTACAGTATCTGATGAAACAAGTACATTTTATTAAATTTTATTTTAATATTGCAAGAGGACTTGACTCTTTTTTCAGTACACTCAGTTGCAGTGTTCCAGTTACCTTGAAGTGATGCATGTGATAATGATGAAACATTATGAAAGCTGGTTAAAAACAATGCCGCAGGTTGGCTACATGGCTACGACAACAGATTGATTCTTTTCTTTGGGTTTCCTTGTTTTTGAAGGCTCTTCCCATTCCAAATGAAGACCGAATCAAACACCTCCTTGGGCAAAATGCTTGGACTTCACAGAAGAACGAACTGGCCAGTTTTTATCCTCGCTTGGCTTCCAAATCGGAGACAGGAAAAATAGGGTTGATTAATTTGGGAAATACGTGCTACATGAACAGCATCATCCAAGCTCTTTTCATGGCCTCTGAGTAAGATCCTTTCCTGCACAAAGAGGTCCATAACCTTGTGGGCTAAAATCCCACAAGCAGTTTGTCCCAAACTTGGTCATAAAAATCAGGGGGTGGAATTATGATTTCTGGCTGGCTGTGGGATTCAGGAAGTTGTGGGCCAAAAATGTGATCTTTTTTCAACGGGTGGTAAAAATACAGTTAGAGTGAATTAAATAACTATGAGCCCCGAAATCTGTTGCCTGGGGCAGCTGCTAGATCTGGCCCAGGTTTGAAAGGCTGTGGGTGGGTCCATTTGCTGGGACAATGATAGTCACGGCTTGGGAAGCTCCTGTTTAACAGCTTAATGTGATGTTTAATGAAGGGTCATGTTAACAGATTTATTTATTGATTTGTAAAAAAATTTTTTTCCCAAGCTTCCGGCGTTCGGTGCTGAATTTAACCGAGAACAACTCCCAACCGTTGATGGCGAAGCTTCAGTGGCTGTTTGCCTTTCTAGAGCATAGTCAGGTAATTCCCGTGCATTTATGATGAACCATAATCAGTATCTCCTGATTCACTTATCTACAGTCTGAAAAGATTAAAAGAAAAATCCCAGAAATATTTTTTCTAAAGATCAAGTTGCAAGAACTAGCCACTAGTGGGAGCCAGAGACCATGAAATTCACTATTAAAATAGTGTTTGCTATAAAATATGCTTTTTCAGCATCTTTGAGGGTGCTTGGAACCCAGTCTCCCATGGATATGAAGTCCTGTCGTATAGGTTTTCGAATGTTCAAGGCATTTCCATTGACAGGATGGCTTTATTCCAAATGTTTTTGTCCTCCCGTAACTTGGAACGCCTCTAAAAATGGCTTACGGAGGAATAAAGAGAAAACAAGCCTCTCTCTAGACTTCCAGTCTGAAAAGGCACAGCACGAAAGGAAACAGGAATGAGGAGGGGAAAAGAAAACAGGAACGTTCAGGCGTTTTCTTTCTGGTTGCTGTGCCTGAAAGGTAGGCCATAACGATCCCTGTTCCTAATTCGAGCTAGAATTGAATAAGGCTTTCTCTAGCTGTCCTTGGTAAGACATGAACTCAGAACTTTGTGGCTCACGCATAGTTTGAGCTGGGCCTCCTCCCTGGTAAGTATCTCTTAATTTTATTCTAGGTAAATCCATGGTTTGGTTTGGTTAGATGAAGGCAACCAAATTGGTTTGCTTCAAAGCAAGGTTAGGAAAGGAAATTGTTCTGTATTTGGGGGGCCGGGGGGAGGTTTGCCCCCCACCCCACCCCACCCCAATGCTTATTACTACCTATTCACATTGCTTCTATTTCAGTTCCCCCACTTCATCCCCATTTACACAAGGACCTCAGAGTGGCCTGCTTCCTCTCTCTTTTAATGACACATCAACCCTGCCATGTAGGCCAGGCTGAGAAAACGATCCGCACGAGGTCCCCTTGTGATGATAAGCAGAGATTGGAAAGCAGGCCTCCCTGAGCCTTGATCAGCTGACTTAAACTTCGACAACCTCATCCTTTCTTCTTGGACAGCCATGATTTCCAGGTAGCACCGCTTGATTGTGCAGGCTGGGAACGATGGGAAATGTAGTCCAGCACCTATCAAAGGTACCGGCTAGGGCAGCGATTCCCAACCTTGAGTCATACTGAGGTTCTTGGACTTCAGCTCCCAGAAGCCTTTACTCCTCGCTGGGCTGGCTGAGATTTCTGGGGGTTGTAGTCCAAGAACACCTTGGTGATCCAAGGTTGGGAACCACTGAATGCACCACATTGTGGGAAAATTTCTTTTTTTGGAATTGTAAAACCTAGGAGCCATAGTCCAGAAAAGGAACTTTTCTCAGCTCTGAGCTCCACATAATGCTTCAAACTTCCCCCAGTTTCTGTGGCACGCTGGCCTTCTCTGCTCAGTTAATCTTCCGTCTGTTTTTAGACATGATTACAATTTCAACTAGCGTTAGCCCAACAAGGTAAGATTGTACGTCGGACTTAAAGACAAGCAGTCTTGCTTGAAATACTGGGTTAGAGGAAAGGGGTTCACGCTGCTAAAGGAAGTGGAGAAACGGCGTCCTGCTCTTTTTCTTAAAGGTACATTTATTTCTAGAACAGCTAAAAAATCTGTCTGCTTAAGCAACATTCAAAACAGCTTACAAAATGTGAATTCAACTACCAGGTGTTTTTTAAAAAAAAGATGTAAAGTGAAAAGAGTCAGAGGAGCAGGTTTTTGCCTGGCCTTTGGACGACATCTTTACCAAATAATTGTATCTCTTTTCCCCATTTTTCCTCTTGCCCCTTTCTTGCTTCTCTCCCTCTCTTCCTGCTCAACCAGCGCCCGGCCATCTCGCCTGAAAGCTTCCTCTTGGCCTCATGGCCTCCATGGTTCACCCATGGGGCTCAGCAGGACTGCTCCGAATACCTGAAATACCTGCTTGATCGGTAAGGTGGATGCTTTTCTGGAGAAGTACAGTTGAGCTTGCATCTTAGTGGAGCAGCTATATTAGCCCGTTGCAGTAAAAATGACAAAGATGTCTGGTGACATCTCAAAGGCTTACGCGTTTTTCATGGTGTCTACTCTCTTGGACTAAAGTCCATGTCAGCAGATTCATGAGATCGTAGTGTCATAGCATCCTGGAGCTGGATGCGCCTTCAAGGCCATCGATTCCAACTCCTTACTCAATGCAGGAATTCAAATCAAAGTACAGTGGTGCCTCGCTTGACGAGGATAATTCGTTCCATTCAAATTGCTGTTAAGCAAAATCCTCATCAAGCGAAATTAAGAAAACCCATTGAAATGCATTGAAAACCGGTTCAATGCGTTCCAGTGGGTGAGATACCTGCTCGTTTTGCGAAGATCCTCCACAGGGCAGCCATTTTTGGGTGCCTGTAAAGTGAGGAATCCGTCCTAAAGCACAGTGGGGAGCCATTTTGCACAGCGGGCGGCTATTTTAGAGCTGCCGATCAGCTGTTTTAAAATCGTCGTCTAGTGAAAAATCGGTTCCTGAAGCAGGGAACCGATCATCGTTAAGCGAATTTTCCCCATAGGAGCATCATTTTGTGATTGCAATAGCGATCGCAAAAACTTCATCGTAAAGCGGTTTTGTTGTTTAATGAGGTAATCGTTAAGCGAGACACCACTGTATATCTAACAGTTGATTGTCTAAATTTCTCAAATCCCTCCAGCCTTGGAGCTCACCACCGCCCGAGGTACAGTGGTGCCCCGCAAGACAATGTTAATCCATTTCATTTAAATCGCTGTTTAGCGAAAACATTGTCTTGCGAAAAGCGTTTCCCCATTGGAATGCATTGAAATCCGTTTAATGCGTTCCAATGGGGAAAATAGTTGTCGTTGTGCGAAGATCGCCCATAGGGAAGCCATTTTGCGAAGCTGACAATCAGCTGTTTAAATCGTCATCTTGCGGAGCATCGGTCCTGAAATAAAACACCGACTTGCGAAGCAAGGACCGAAACATTGTCCAGCGAAAATCGCCCATAGGAAACACTGTTTTGCAAAGCGCAACGGCGATCGCAAAAACTTGTTGTCATGCAGATTCGTCGTTTTGCAGGGTAATCGTCTAGTGGGGCAACTGTTGGGGTTGACAGCAACACTGTAATTTAATAATGTATCATGACTTTTTCATTTTAAAAGAATCTAACACAGTGAAAGGTAGCCTACAGATGGGCAATACATTAAATGAATGTGTTCTCATTAAAATTTAATAAATAATGTAAAGTACCACAAGATTCTTGACAGGGTATTTTCCCCCCCTAGTAATACAACTTTTGTCTCAAAATAAGGAGGGTTGTGGGGAGGAGGGAATGATCCTTTTCCAGGTGGCATGATTTCATGTAGAACTAGGAAAAGTTGCATTTTTGAACTAGAGCAGTGGTTCTTAACGTGTGCGATAATGCCCCCCAGGGAGCGATTTCATTTTTCAGGGGGGCAGTAGAACGAAAAGGGGCGGTGTGGGGGCGCTGGAGCAGAATGGCACGCTGGCCTTCTCTGCTCAGTTAATCTTCCGTCTGTTTTTAGACATGATTACAATTTCAACTAGCGTTAGCCCAACAAGGTAAGATTGTACGTCGGACTTAAACACAAGCAGTCTTGCTTGAAATACTGGGTTAGAGGAAAGGGGTTCACTTTGCTAAAGGAAGTGGAGAAACGGGGTCCTGCTCTTTTTCTTAAAGGTACATTTATTTCTAGAACAGCTAAAAAATCTGTCTGCTTAAGCAACATTCAAAACAGCTTACAAAATGTGAATTCAACTACCAGTTTTTTTTTTTAAAGATGTAAAGTGAAAAGAGTCAGAGGAGCAGGTTTTTGCCTGGCCTTTGGACGACATGTATACCAAATAATTGTATCTCTTTCCCCCGTTTTTCCTCTCGCCCCTTTCTTGCTTCTCCCCCTCTCTTCCTGCTCAACCAGCGCCCGGCCATCTCGCCTGAAAGCTTCCTCTTGGCCTCATGGCCTCCATGGTTCACCCATGGGGCTCAGCAGGACTGCTCCGAATACCTGAAATACCTGCTTGATCGGTAAGGTGGATGCTTTCTGGAGGAGTACAGTTGAGCTTGCATCTTAGTGGAGCAGCTATATTAGCCCATTGCAGTAAAAATGACAAAGATGTCTGGTGACATCTCAAAATCTTACGCGTTTATCATGGTGTCTACTTTCTTGGACTAAAGTCCACGTCATCAGATTCATGAGATCGTAGAATCATAGCATCCTGGAGTTGGAAGGTGCCTTCAAGACCATCGATTCCAACTCCTTATTCAATGCAGGAATCCAAATCAAAGCATATCTAACAGTTGATTGTCTAAATTTCTCAAATGCCTCTAGCCTTGGAGCGTTCACCACCGCCCAAGGTACAGTGGTGCCCCGCAAGACAATGTTAATCCATTCCATTGAAATGGCTGTTTAGCGAAAACATCGTCTTGTGAAGAGCGTTTCCCCATTGGAATGCATTGAAATCCGTTTAATGCATTCCAATGGGGAAAATAGTTGTTGTTGTGCAAAGATCACCCATAGGGAAGCCATTTTGCCTAGCCGCCGCTCAGCTGTTTAAATCGTCATCTTGCAAAGCATCGGTCCTGGGGGAAAAAATGTCTTGCGAAGCACAGACCGAAACATCATCCAGCAAAAATCGCCATAGGAAACACTGTTTTGCAAAGCGGAATGGCAATTGCAAAAACTCGTCATGCAGATTTCTCATTTTTGCGGGGTAATCATCTAGCGGAGCACCACTGTAATTTAATAATGTATCATGAGTTTTTCATTTTAAAAGAATCTAACACAGTGAAAGGTAGCCTACAGATGGGCAATACATTAAATGAATGTGTTCTCATTAAAATTTAATAAATAATGTAAAGTACCACAAGATTCTTGACAGGGTATTTTCCCCCCCTAGTAATACAACTTTTGTCTCAAAATAAGGAGGGTTGTGGGGAGGAGGGAATGATCCTTTTCCAGGTGGCATGGTTTCATGTAGAACTAGGAAAAGTTGCGTTTTTGAACTAGAGTTCCCAAACGCCCGCAGTGGTCGAAGACTACTTTTCCAGGCTCTGGTGTTTCATTCTTGCATTAGAAGGCATCTCAGTGTGTCATGATATTCCTCCCTATATTCTCTCCACCCCACCAAAAGACTTCATGAAGAAGAGAAAACTGGGAGAAGAATTTACCAGAAGCTCAAAGAGTCTACTCTGACGTGTCCAGCTGACGAGCAGCGCTCTGGAGACAAGACTCTCGTTGAACAAATGTTTGGTGGCAAAATTAAGACAAAAATCCGTTGTCTGAAGTGCCTAAAAGTTTCTTCCAGGGAAGAGGCCTTCACGGACCTCTCCTTGGCTTTTCCGCCAGCTGACCAGCATGTGCCTCTAGCCACTGGCAGTGCCTCAGTTTTACCCATTGAAGAAATGGGCCCTCAAAACATTCAGGCAAGTGTAGAACCACAGATGAGGCTGAGTGAGCCACCCAGGAGATCCGGGATGCCCGTCGCGTCTGGAATGAGTCCAGTGTTGCCCGTGGAAACCTTGAGACCAGAGGGTCAGGAGACATCTTCCTCTTTGAGATGCGAGCAGGATGCCACGTGCGTGAAGCCTCCAGGAGAATCAGGATTGGCTCCACAGGGGCCCGCCTCAGGTTCTGCACCGTCCCGATCTGTCCCGGATCTGATCAATTATTTCTTATCGCCTGAGACGCTGACTGCGGAGAACCGGTACCACTGTGAGAACTGCGCCTCCCTTCAAGATGCGGAGAAGCTGGCGGAAGTGACGAAGGGGCCTCATTACCTCGTCCTCACTTTGCTGAGGTTCTCCTTCGACCTGAGAATCATGAGGAGGAAGAAGATCCTGGACAACGTCTCGGTCCCATTGGCGTTGAAGCTGCCCGTCCTGACCTCCGAGGAACCGAGCGGGACTCATCCGGCGAGGACGGGGGACCGTTCTCCGTCGTCCTGCAGGGGATTTGTTTCTGTGATGTACGATCTCTGCAGTGTGGTGGTGCATTCTGGGGTCTCTTCGGAGAGCGGCCATTATTACTGCTACGCCAGGGAGTGTGACGACGACGGAGCTGCAGAAAGCGGTCCGAAGGACGCCTCTTGGAACGCTGCCTCGGAGAAACCGCCGAACGTGGCTGTCCAGTGGTATCTTTTCAACGACACCAGAGTCTCCTTCTCCTCTTTTGAATCTGTGAGCCACGTGACCTCCTTCTTGCCCAAGGACACCGCTTACTTGTTGTTCTACAGGCAGAGGAGAACTCAGTCCGAAAGCACGGGAGGTGAGGCTGCAGCGGAGTCTGGCTGGGTGAACGGGGACTTGCATTCACCGGATAAAAGCCTAATGGAAGCCATTGCAAAGGATAATATCCTCTTCTTGCAGGTAATGTGGGCTGCTTATTATGATTATGATTCTTAAAGTTATGTATTATTCCCCCAAATCCTGTTGGTTCATTGGTTGGTTACATTTACAGTAGGACCCCTGTGTCTGTGGGATCAATATCTGTGGCTTCACTTATCTGCAGTCTGAAAATATTAAAAAATATTGAAAGAAAAGAAAACCCTAGAAATTAATATTTTCCACAGTGTATTTATCAGAATTGGCCACTAGAGGGAACCAGAGACTATGCTGTGCATTCTTGTTGAAAAATACCTAGCATGGTTTCTGCTTCCCTCTGGTGGCCAGTTCTGGTAATACATGATGAAAATACTTTTTCCAGGATTTTTTTTTCTTTTGGCATACTGTGCATAGCATTCACTTTTATTCACGGGTTTCAGCATCCACAGGATGGGGCTTGGAATCCCCCACAGATGTGGGGGTCTTACCATATATACCTCCCATGTAGTGGCAAGTCACTACTATGGGCAGTTTGCAAAGAATATCCTAACCCTTCCCACCCCACGCCCACCAAAACACCAATCAATCCCCCCAAAATCCATGGTGGTGATAGCTATAGAAGTAGTATATATGTGACTTAAAAAATGACATTAAAAATAGATCAGCAGGTCTCCTGCAAAGGAAGGATACTCTTAAAGGCCTCTTTAAAACGCACAGATTTAACAAGCTTTCTAAAGGTAAGGAAGGAGGGAGCCTGACATACATCTATAGAATTTTCAAATCCTATCAGTTCCATGTGCTAGTGTAATGCAATGAGCATAGATCTGAATGGTTTTGGACCTTGGATCTGGTCGGAATATCTCTCCCAGAAAACAGCTAGCCATTTCACATGCTCCTCACAGTCCACAGTGCGAAAGACGGTCATATCAAGGGAGCCTAGAAAGACGGTAACTAGGAATTGAGCTTTCTCGGTGGTGGCCCCCACTCTGTGCAATAACCTGCCAATCAAGGTTACCCAGGCTCCTTCCCTTCTGATATTTAGGAAATTACTCAAGAGAGAATTATACAAGGCAACCTTTAAGAGCATATCACCTAAGGCTACTAATTTTTAATTTGAAATTCATGTTCCTTTTGTATTTCAGCTATATTCAAATTGCCTCTTCTACCGTATTGATTAGGTGATATGGGAGTGGAGTTGTAGGAGGTTCGGGTGGTTCATGTTTTTCTCTGTACACTGACTAGAGTAGCGCATATTCCCTAATCAGGCAGTATATAAATTAACGAAACAAGTAAATATGGTAGGACCCCCTTGTACACCGGATCAGGATCAGCTGATTCACTTATCCATGATCTGAAAATATTAAAAGAAACATCCTAGAAATATATATTTCTATAGGCGAACTTACCAGAACTGGCCACTAGTGGGATACAGAGACTGTGCAATATACAGTCTTCACTGTTAAAATGGTGTTTGCTATCATCCACATTTTTCAGCCTCTGCAGAGGGGCTTGGAACCAATCTCCTGAAGATATGGGGGTTCTACTGTAAATAAATCTCAGCACAGAACAGCAAATGCTAATCTGAATGTCTTCTATCTAATTCACAGCCTGGATTTACACCAATTGCTTTTTGGCCATTCTCTCTATAATTTACCGTATTTGTCTGTGTATAAGACTATACTTTTGTCTAAAATTTTTAGACTAAAAATTGAGGGTTGTCTTATACGCAGAAGTAATCTGAGGCGAGAACAAAAACAAGTGGAGGGGAAAGCAGGAATCAAAGCGATCCTGCAGCACATTGAGCCCTTTCCCCCTGCACTTGCTAAGCCCCACTTAGATTTCTTAATTTTGGATTAGAAAAGTGGGGGTCGCCTTATACATGGGGGCATTTTATACACAGAAAATTACAGTAGCTCATGATCAAGAGGCCTGCTTGGATTTGATTTTCATGGATTTTGTACCCCCCACAGGAGCAGGAAAAGGAAGCCAGAAGTCGGAGCGCTTACATTTCTGCTTTGCCCAAATCCCCTCTATGGTGGAAAGACTTTGACAGGGATGATGATGATGATGATGGCTCCTCGGGGGGTTGCGGACACGATCCTGGCAGGGGAGGCTCGAACTCTTTCCACGGACTAGTCTTTTAGCAGGGATCGCTTTACTCAAACCCAACGGCTTACACTCTATAACCGTCAAGTGAGTCTCCTCAGAGCTCGGAATAAGAGAACCAGCCCAAGATGGCCAGAAGTGGCTCTGCAAGAAAGAACTGCTGTGGGTTCCTCACCTCTCCTTAATGTTCGGGAATTGTAGTATTTTGGGAGGTGCTTAGCAAGCAGGGGATTTTCACCGCCCTCAGATTCTGCTCTTCCTCATATCTGAGAACATATCATTTTGTTTGCCATTGTAGCATAATCACCAACATCTGAAGAGTGGGATATTCTTATGGTGAAATCTCTTGAGGGAGAGTTTCTTCCTCTATTGATTCAGGGAATCCAATGTTATAAGCTGAGCTTAAGTCGTGACTCAAGGACATTTCCACCAAAGTGAACTGTGTGATGCATTTTCCAAACAAAATGTGTGTCTCTCTGTGTGTGTGTGTGTGTCGTGATGCTTTTTTCCAAACAAGATGTGTGTCTCTGTGTGTGTGCACGCACCGCACCTTCTAAATGTTGTTTGTGGAAGATTTGAGTGCGAAGGGACTGAGGGAAGTGTGAGTTTGGCTGAAAAGGCGGCGTGGCTAGTTATCAAGGCCAGGTTTAGATAGTTACACATGATGGGTTAATAATTAGGGGGAGGGTTTCTATGGCACTTCACATTTTCTCTGCAACCTACATTTGAACCCATAAGCGTGTTCAAACATGTTTATGAACTGGCCTTTCTCATCCGATTACAGTGGGGTCTCTACTTAAGAAATCCGATTACTTATAAACCTGTTCAGACCCAGCCATAAACTCAAACATGGGTTGCAGGGGAAAACATGACATGTCATAGAAATTCTTCCCCATTAACCACCACCTTAGAAGTGCAGAGCTGGCAGATTAACCACCACCACCACCACCTTAGAAGTGCAGAGCTGGCAGGGACCCTATAGATCATAGAGTCCAGCCCCAATCAAGGAGGCATCGTGGGGGAATTGAACGCCCAACCTCTGGCTTCATGGCTAGAGACCTAAGCCACTGAGCTATCCAGCATCTGAATGTCCTTGTTTCTGTCTTCTCGCTTTTATCCTTCTCTCCCTTCCCTGTTGCTTCACATGTACACGTAGATACACAAAACACTAAGGTGGCCAGCTGAAATGGAGGAGAGGCTTCTATGCCTTTAATACAAATGCAAGAGTAGGCCATACCTTTATAGACCACTCATGAAACCCTACAATCTGCTAGCTTTCAAAAATGAGGAAACCCCCCCCCCCATCATGCTTGCCCCAGTGACTTGCTTTTAGGGCAAATATCTTAAAAGAGTCCCAAAAATTCATGACAGACGGATTTTGCCAGGGATGCACCTTAGATGCAAGTTAGGAAAAGACGCCGGCGGTGCCGGAGTTGTGATTTTAAAACGAATATTAACTGGACATCATCGTCAAACAAAGAAGCTCAGGCACTACGTCTGTCCCGTCCCGCGTAACCTTCCTTTGAAAGGCCAAGTTTCTGTTACTAGTCATGTGAAACCAGAGCTGTAACCAGAAATACTTGCAGCTGAGGCAAAAGGGCTCAATGCTGAGACGTGAGTGTGGATGGCAACAACAACAAGGAGACACAGAACGTGATGCCCAGCCAAAGGAGAACATTTCTGCTTTCTTTTTTTTTAAAGGAAAGCAAAGTATGTTGCTTATATTTCACCCCTTAGTATTTTAAGCACACCCTGGGTTATTTACAATTTAATTATTTAGATAGATTAGGCATCCTTCAGTCTCGAGAGACTATGGTAACGTGTTCTGTATGGAGGAATTGGAACAGCGTCTAGTGTGGCTGAGGAGGCCAATTCGAGAGTGACAATCCCTTCCACACTGGAGACAAATCCAATCTGTCCCCTGTCCAACTCCCTGGTTTTGCTTCCTTTGTGACTGCCTCTTTGCCTCGGCCTGCTGGACAAGGGTATCTTCAAATTGGGAGAGGCCACGATGCACTGCCGTCCTCCAGGCTGAACGCTCAGAGGTCAAGGTTTCCCATCTGTCGAGGTCCATTCCTAAGGCCTTCAGATCCCGCTTGCAGACCTCCTTGGATTGCAGTCCTGGTCTCCCTCTGGGGTGATTTCCTTGCACTAATTTAATTATAAAGGCTACACATTACGCCTCACCCCACCCCGGGGCAAGCTGGCTATTCATTTTACCTACCTCGGAAGGATAGAAGGTTGAGTAAACCTTGAGCCAATGACCTGATATTGAACACGGACAGTGAGCAGAGTTTTGCCTGTAGTTTAACCGCCGCGCCACGCGGCTCCTTTTGGCACAGAGGTTAAAACTGCAACACTACAACCCAAGTGAAAAAGGCCAAGAGGCATTGCCGTTTATTTTCCTAACACTCACTAACCAGAGACCCTTCTAGATATGATGAGCCCCATCTACTAGGTTGTCCTTGTCACAGTTCTTTTTTTAAAATGGGGAGAAATTCAGGCACCTTTCACATGAGAGGCTACATTGGCTGAAACCTCTGGCAGCTCTGTGAGAAAGGGGAGAAATTCAGGTGTTGTTCGCATGAGAGGCTACATTGGCTGAAACCTCTGCTTCTCCGCAACCGTTAAAGGTAGAGGAGCCCCATCTGTATTTTACACGGCCGCCTTCATGCACACGTGGGCCCGTGGCTTCCTTATAATTTTATCTTGGAAGCTGTAATGCCGCTCCTTCCTTGGCTTTCCAAACTTCTGGGCTGGTGTGAGTCCTTTTCCCAAGCTTGGTTGTGTCGAAATTGGGGGTATCTGTCAGATCACCCCTTTTTCCAGGAAGGGAAGTCCATTTGCAGCTTCAGCAAAAACCCACATGCATTGCCCCTCAGTGCTTGTGAGATTCCCAGAGATAACCTGTCGATCTGTGTTTTAGACAGAGAATGCTGGACTACAGTTTGTTCCGGCATAGATCTTAAGTTCTCTTACATCAAGATGCTTCTTGGCTGGTCCTCGGATGTTCCTTCATTAGCCAAAGGGCATTTGAACAGTTAAAATGTGCAGCTTATTTATTTTGATCAGCATCTCCCACCCGGTGGGTGGACTCTTGATAGTTTTTGCTGAAGAATATCCCGTTTTTAATAGAGACACGGAAGTTTTTTTTTTAGGCACGTATCACGTTTATTAACAGCAATTTTTTTTTTAAAAAAAAGAAGATTATCTAAGTTAAGCATGAGATCGGTTTTACAGGATAAGTATGTCCAAACTGTCTTTAAAAAAAAACAGAATAAATTAATAATTTAAGGTATTAGAATCCACGGTGACGAGAAAAAAAAAAGAACTGAACAGTGAAATATCATAAGACGAAAACATACTGTACACATTTTTTTTAAAAGTCTTTTTCTGTCCTTCTAAAATTTTATTTACTGTTTTACGAAATAAACACCCCAGCTCCTCACCCACTTGTCTACGTAGCCATCAATTTCAGAACATCCACATTGACGTAACAAAACTACTTCATTTCTTTGACAAAGCAACATTAAGATAAAGACACCTGATTTTTTTTTTTAAAAAAACCCTTCTCATGATACCTAATGCAGATATTTAGGAAGTTTTTACTAGAACGTTTCCATTTATACGGTATTCGAACTTGGTATACAGTAGGATGGCACTATCTTTGGGGGATCGGTCACAGGCTTCCTCCCCTCTGTTGAAAAAAGTATCTTAACACGATACATTGCATGGTCTCTGGCTTCCTCCAACGGCCAGTTCTGGTGAATACACCATGGAAATACATATAAATACATATTTCTGGTTTTTTTTAAAAAAAATCAGTACTTTCGGTCAGCGGATAAGTGAATCAGCGGATAATGAGCCCGTAGATAAGGAGTTCCTACTGTACTTCATAGTCAGACCATGGCTTCTCGATAGCTAAATTTGTTCCCTGAGATAAGGAGTTCCTACTTTACTTCATAGTCAGACCCTGGCTTCTCGATAGCTAAATTTGTTCCCTGTCATTGAAATTTAACGTATCACTAAAGGACATTTATGGGTCTCTCTTTCATTTACCCAAATCGTTGATGAGATCATTCTTGGGGGTTTCGCTCAGGGCTGTTTGTCCATGATACCTGCCTTTTAAAGCCCTCATCCAATTCCAACAGATGCCATGGTTTGCTGGATATAACCTTAGAGAGGAACTAGGTGATTGGAAATATGGAACATATGACATAGGGGTACCAGGATAGCAATGTGGACTCCTTTCAGCAGAACTTCAGAATTCCTAGTTGTTGGCCAGAACACTTGCGGTAGAGCATTTCACTGATCCTGCTTCAAGTAACTATAAGCATGAGGGTTCAGAAAACCCAGTTTATCGTGTTCACTTCCACCACTGCCCCGCCAGCTAAAGTAAGCACTGATACCCCACCCTTGTGATCTAACTGATGGCAAGCCGTATCCACAACCTTTTCAGTTGCCTAGCTTGTCTGTGCCTCGTGTTGCTGTCTGATTTTGTGTGGCCTTCAGCCCAGCGTGGACCTTAGGATGGGCACCCCAAGGATGCTAAGGGATGATGCCTGTCCTGGCCCTTCGGGAAGTTGTCTGGCAAAAGTAGAAAAAAATCAGATGTGCTGGGGAGTAATATTCCCGGGATGAGGAATCCACTCTGGGTTTGGGTCCAAACTTTATAGAAAATAGCCAACATATTGAACTCACCTTTCAGACAGTTTCAGCACCCGGGACAGCTCCTGAAACAAATTATGTTTACCAAGCTCTGCTTTTCCCCCATATACATTCTATTTGCAATTTGCTGGCCACATTAGGAATGCCTGTGGCATTGGTAAACAGTTGGTATACTACTGCATGTCACACTGCTGTACTGAGGGGCCCAGTATACGTGTGTCCATGAGGAGATGGTGGCATTATTTCTTATGTACATGTGACAATTCTCATCCTTCAAGACATTGCGAAGTTTTCCCAATTCAGCATTAAACAGAGTCTATTAGACTTGATAGCCAGCTGATGAAGAAGAGGAGGTGGAGAACAGGCACAGCATGGAGAGCCGGTGAGGTGATGTATTACTTCTCTTTATTAGAGGAAAGGAGGGTAGTAACAGACAGACCTGAGCTTTGCAATTATAAGGTGATAAAACATTATCCCTCCAGAGATGCAGAAGCTTGAAATTGGATCCTGGGTTTATCTCTGAATCACTGAACAAAAGCAAACCAATTTGCAGCCTGTGACACTACTGAAGTGTGGTAGGAAAAAGAAAAGTTAAGCAGGCTTTGCTTTCATATATGAGAATAGGATCTTGTCTCTTTTTGTCTGGCGGTAAGAAGTAGACGGGCTTTTTATAAGGGAAGCCATAGGGCGTCAGTTTAGAAGCGGACTGCTAAACGAGTTCCATTGTATGGTGTATTTGCACTATATAAACACAGTATTTTGATATCACTTCATCTGCCACGATGCC